AGACTCAGCATCCCCGTGGTCACTTTGCCACTGGCCTCTGCCAGCAACCCCACATGCTCAAATGACGACCCAAAAGTTGAGGAAACCTGCGGCATCCTGTACTTTTATGTGCTGAGGGGTAATGAGGGAGATGTAGCGGTTGAGCAGGTAGCTCCTCTATTCAACAATCAGCCCGTTATCAAAATCCTCACCAGGGGGGGCGGGGTCGCGGGGGAATTAACATCTGCATATTTCTTCTACATGGGTTCTAGTACCCCCTCGAAGTGAGACAATGCTTCCAACAATGGCCCAGGAGCAGAGTCAGAGTACGTATGTTTCGTATGTAGTGCGAGGGGCTTGTAGAAAACACTGCCATCTTGTATACATCTCCTGAAACCCATGATGCCCAAATATGCCCAATATCATGCAGTTGCAATGTTGGCCCGCCTTGTGGCACTTTCCAGCATGCTTTTGATTCTGAAATCCGTTTCAAGGACCCCAGAAAGGAGCCGCCAACGTTTGAAAACCCCGACGTGGCAACATGAGGCTGGGAAGTATTCAAGTGCCAGGCCGGATGAGGAAAGCGGAGCCGTCAGAATCGACTTGGCCGCTTGTCTAAGGAATCGCACCTCGTTGTAGGGCTCGCGCAGGTACATGATAGGGGTAAAGCGGGAACTGTGCAGAGATCTAAATGGATCCAGGGTTTTTTGGGTAGCTTCCTAAACAGAAGCGTCAGAACAATCGGTGCAGGTAGGGCCCACGAAAGAACCCGCTCTTGACTGCGAAAACCTCATGTCGCAGCCAGCAGACTGCTGAGTCTAAGGCCCTGGCCGACGTCTCACCTGAGAACACACCCATGCTTGCCTTCAGTTTGCCGCCTTCGTGATGGCATGGTAACTGGATGCCACATGAACGATTATTGAATCTAGACTGGATTCTCTTGCAAACACCTTATACAGGTATTGCTGCCACTCGAAGTAGCAATGTTCACGCTTGGCTTGTGCTCGAAAATCACCAACTTACCCATCAGTGTTGCATCTGAGGCCCGCTCCGTCAGAACTCGTCTGCATGGCCTTCGCAGGGGTGTAGAGCAAGTCACATCACCATCAGTTCTCACAGAAAAACAAAACGGAAAACTGACGTTGTAGTGTCCAGCAGCAATGGGAAAAAGAGTCTGCCAGTATCACAACATTTTCACATCCAGCTATGGTAAGTGGAAACCGCTATGCAATTCAGCAATTCCCATTTTCCACCAACACGAGAAGCACTGCTTCTTTGCAGGCCTCTGAAGCCGCGCCCTTGGAGAAGGATACCTGTTGAGGCCACACGCAGGGCTTCCAAACTTAGGTGTACAAAAACGGTGGCAAAAGATTCTGGAGTGGGGCATCATCCAGCAGCGATAGATCTTTAGACTTACGGCCCGAGGCATAGACACGTGTCTTTAGAATCTTGGCAGCATTCAGAAAAACTTGAAGCCAAGCCACATGCAGCACCAGGCCTCTGCCTACCTCTGTCCACTTGTCCTTCGAACGACGCAGTCACGGAAAGAAGGCACGATAGCTGCAAAGAGCTCAACGTCTATCGCAGCACTCCCACGTCCTCGGCCTCCGATATTAACAGCCTAGCCTTCGAGCAGCGTTGGACCACCTGGAAGAACGGTTTTCAAACTCTTTGTGGGAAGGGCTGCTGGAAGGATGATTGTATCCTTGACTGGCAGGCGCAGTTTTTGGATCCTTCGCGCACATGGTGGCAGCTTCCGCATTATTTCAAAGGTCCACCACGAATCCCACTACCAATCAAGAACGTGCCAGGGCACCCTGACGCTGAAGGGATTGCATTCGATTTTCTTGGGGAACGATCAAGGATGCTGTCCAAAATGTAAAGAATTGTTTTTTGCGGAGTCTGTCTGTAACAGTCAACAGCCACTCAATGTGGAAAAGTCATGAGATGCCTTGCACACGGCGCACTATTTGGCACTCGTCAATGGAAAAGGCAGGTGCTTGACCTGCTGTGATCAATGAATTTGCATGCCTCTGGAAAAAAGGAGCTTAAATCTGGGGGCCGCGCCCCGCATTTTGAAGCATTGCAGATGAGATTTAATCGAAGGCGCACGGCGCCGGCAACATTCTCTGTTGTGCGCACTAGCTGGTTGGGCAAAAGAAGCATGGCGAATGGCCCTGCTTTTAGGCCTGTAAAAGCTGTCACTGCAAAGTGTCATTTAACTATGGAACCTGATTGCCTCAAGTCTTGCCGAAGCACGACCTGAAATCAGCGAAAGAAACGTTCCACGCGGATGGACTGCCAAGTTCTTCAGCCAAAATGTCTTGCAGTGGTTCATGAAAAGTCTACCTTGTGACCAAGGCGCGTGGAGAGTTAACTTCACCTTGGATTCGAGATACCGTGCATGCAGCATTGTCCATGAGCTGAAGTGAGCATCAGATTTAAAAGGTGAAGACCGAACAACACCCTGATTGCAATGACTTAGTTCAGGTGAAAGTTCCGGAACAGCCACAGCCAGCATCTAGAGGTCTCTACCCCCCTGTCTGTCTGCACGCCGTTACCCGTTGAGGAACCCATTCCTGGTCTTGGACACAAGTTTTCAGAAGGGTAGAACTGCTAGACCCCTTTGAGAAACCTTTTTGGACTGGAAACTTCATACACAGATGTGTCATGCTTTTTGTAGTAACTGGATTCTTGGGGTTTCCAAGAAGGAGTATGCATGCCAAATAACGACACTAAATAAAGTGCTCACCTTGTGTGCGGCCTCTTGCTAGCTGGCCCGCTTTTTGGGAAACACCCAAATGGTAGTTTCCCAAAATGGGGGAACCCAGTATAGAGCCCCAAATACTACAGTCCTTTTTACGAGGACTGTCAAAAAGGTATCCCTAATTTTGGGAAACACCCAAACTCTAAACCCTAAATAGTCGCTTCCATTTCCTTTTCCATTATCCCCTAGATAACCTTTATATAACCCCATTATAACCCATGTGCATTATTAGAGTATGCATCCAGGTGCAGAAGGGAGCTGCGCTCGCTGTCCGGCAGCTTCTCAAGCAGTGCCTGACAGCTAAGCTTTTGGCTTCTGTTCATTCCAGGTCCCCTGTTGGGGTTTTCCTGGTAAGTACATGGTGCACCCACTTCATTGGCTACTGTTCAAACTTTCACTAACTTTCACTACTACTCTTCCTCCTCCTTTTCTCGACTATGATAAGGAGCCCCCGCCTGGATCTGCCGCTTGGTAGCCTCCACTCTGAGCTGCTCCACCTTCTCAGCCTGGCTGAAGCAAGAATTCCTACGAGGCTCGGGTCGGGGCTCTGGCTGCGGATCTCTGCCGCTTTGCAGTTGCATGGCCATACAGAGTCTTACAGCATCCAGATGTGAGGACTTTCCGGCTAAGAGCGCTCACTTCTCAATCTGTTTTTGAGATTTCTCAAGTTGGCTACTGTGTACCCCCTTTCCGCCGCCAGGCCTCACACTGCAGCAAACAGTGACTACCTACCATGATCCTCGCACCACCAACAAAGAGGATATGATAATGCTGCTGCTGCTGCTGATGATGATGATGATGATGGAGGTGGTGGTGGCGGCGGTGATTCACGCAGTTGAGCAGAAGCCACTGAATGCAGCAATCCCCTACTAACCTGCTTGTCACAGAGATCACAGCAAACCGATGGGAATGCTACATAAGGCATTTGCACAGACTGCGGCATTCAATTCTCTCGAGTGCTATTAACTGGCTGTGCTGCCAGATATCGCGGCTTCTGCAGTTTCTCTTGGGATGGTGGGGAAGAACGACCCCATTCTCGACGAGGAAAACAATGACAAGCTTGATCAGCGCACGCCCCGTCACGCTGACTGCAAACACTCACAACTGGTAGCATCACCAAAGCGAAGCAAGTGATACATCTCAAAACAGGGTCCCCGTTTTGAACATCTTGAAACCTAAAAACAAAAAGTTTTGGCCCAGGAGCGAAGGGGGTCCCCTCCAGGAAGGTCACAGCTTTCTCATCTTCATCAGCCATGCCAGCCTCCCATTGCAGTGATGCAATGTATTGTGGCTTCTTCAGGACAAGCGGGAAGTTTTGCATCTGGCTTGCAACGACTCTGCCAGGCAAACAACTAACCCCGTCAAGCGGGAAGTTACCTTTGGGAACCTAAACCCCCAACAAACCCTCAACCCTAAAACCTAAGTCTAAACCCTAAACCCCAAAGCCCTAAACCCTGAAGCTAGAGGACTAGGACCATCCTTAAGGATTGCCCGCTTTGCCAACCGCATTGGCTAGGAGGTGTCTAGCTCTGAAAACTATATAATGAATGGAAGAGTTTAGGGGGTAACACTAACTTTAATGCCGGGAGTCTGCGCCCAGAAATAGATCCGCGATGCGTTTTGTGAAGCCCTCAGAAGACATGTCTACATACATGTATATACGTACACATATATATTTTCCCCCATGCTTCCAAACTGTCACATCCAAACGCGCAGACCTGAACTTTATGCTGCGTTATCAACCCAAAAAAACCCTATCTCCGCATGCAGCCGCTCAAATCCCAGAATCCGCTAGCAAATCCTGCTGTGCCCGTCGCCTCGGACAGCCAGGAGGAGAGAAGATCTTGAGCAGCCTGCTGTGTTCAACTGCAGGCCATTCAAAAGACTGGGCTCTCGGTAACAACTAACGACTACGTAAGAACATGTAAGAAGAGCATCAAGAGAGAAAAGCAATGGTAAGGGTTGTAAAGAGAGCGGGCAGGTCGTACGGCATGGCCGCATGGCAGCACTGCTCATGAAGACTGGGGGTGGTCAACTTTGCTTGCAGCCGAAGCTACACCAGCAGCAAAAACGTTCCAGCCTTAGAGGACAACTCCGGATCAGCTTCGCGCATGCTGTGCTCCACTTCCTCAGGGCACCCCAGGAACAGCCACGCAGGCAACTTGTGCCTAATCACATATCCTAAAAGCGGCAGTCGTCTCATGGTAGCTAGTGGCGATCACCTAATTCAAGGGCAACTTCATAATTTCACGTTTCATGGCACTTTACTGGGATTGGAGGAAGTGCCGCAATGTTCATTCCACTCAGCCATCGCACACCATGCAGCCGAAATTACCCAAAAACCTGAAATGTGCGAGGCCTGCTTTGCAATGCAAAAACTTTTGCCCCGAAATCCACACCCACGGTTCTCGTCCTTGAGCAGGAGTCGGCACCTCACTCTCCAGTAGAAGAACTCTCTGGACCGGCGCCACTCCAGTCCCTGGAAAGAGGTGACATACAGGCGATTAAAAGTCGACCACTGCGCACCAACCGCAGGTCTCACGGACACACAAGCGGCCTTCCGAATGACGCCCTTCGCTTCCATGCGCCCTGTGCGATCATGCAAGTCGGCAAACTCGCACGCGATTTGGGTGTAGAGAGGCTGGAGCTTCTCCTCACCAGCATTTTGCGAATTGGGCTTTGCATTTTATGGGTGTCTTCACCATGGCAAAAGCTCGGGCTGCCCTGTGTACATGGCCGGTTCATGCTGGTTCCTGCGCTCGACTACCCCAACACAACCTCATAAGCTGTGGCTTCCAACCCCAAACAGCCAACCGTAGAGAAAAGCAGAACAGCTTCCGAGTGTCCTCGCGAGCCTTGATCTGCATCTCGATATCTGAGGCTGCGCTCCCAACCTCTGAGGATGAGGACTCCTGTCAAGGGTTGCAGGGTGGGACTTTCAGAACCCTAGGGTTTTGAGAGACCTTTAAAGGACTATAGTACCTAGATGTACCTTTAGTCCTGTGACCCTGGTGTCGCAGAGAGCCGGGCAGGTATCTCATGGAATGCTCCTTTGATCTACAGTAGTACATGAGGTAAGTGGCATCAAAGCCCTTGTCAGGTTACGGGATCTTAGAAGAACTTAGGTAAGGCTTTCTGGAAAATGCTTATGCTTCAGGGGCACATCATCTATGGCATAATGGCTTGGATGCGGGAGTGAAGGTCCGGATAAGATTAACACGTGCGGCTCTGGCTTGAACACACGAGCGTAGCCCTTGCAAAGCCATGACAAGATGGAAGATGAAGCAGAAGCGACACGAGAAGAGTGGCATTGATGTTGCCGAAACTGCAGCTTTGGTAGTAGCAACATGTAACAACAGCACAAGAAGCAGTAGAAGCAGCAGGATGTACTTGCAGATGCTGTGGGCACGACGGAAATGATGATGACCTTCATACGGGCAGCATTGCAAAAAGGCTTCAGCAGCAATACGAAAGTGCACCAGTCCTCGAGCATCGCGTCGTACTTCCGCAGCTCAGGATCTAGTCGATGCATCATGTCCTCCAAACTGCATACAGTATGCTGCGAAAAGGCATTTCATGCAAAGACATTTGGCCTAAACTCAGCCTGATCCCTGCGGTTTAGTCCCCAGGTCCAGCTGCTTTTCTGGATATTGCTCGAAGCTGCGGCCCCCTGTGCGACCCTCAAACACATAGGCACTTCCTTTGTAGAATTCCCAAAACGAAACCCGAAAAGGAGAACGAATTGAACATACCCCCGGTACCATCCAAGCTCATGGGGACCAGGCCTTCTGCTGCGCGGCGCGGAACTTAACCTGCAAGGTAAATTGTAGGCTGCTAGACTCCCGTTCTGAAACCTAGCAGCAAAACATACACATGCAAAGTAGGAGTCCCAAAACAAGAACTGTAGGGGGCATGCCAGGGATTCAGAGCCATGAATCTCAATGTTGTAGAGAGAGCCTAGCCTCCACGATTCCAGGCGGCTCAAGAATGCCCCCTCGAGAATCCACATCAGCGTACATCTCCTGGCAGGTGCAGGCTGCCGTGTGACAGAAAACATCTTGAACGCTTCGCAAGATTGACGGGTAATCATCCTGAGATTGAAGCAGTTACCATCACAAGTTCAGTTAAATCATCCCATCACAACCTTTCCCGCAGCTTCTGCAACCCCTCAGGATTGCAGCCAAGGCTCCATCTGCTCTGGATTGATGGTCGGGTCGATCACGACCCACGACCCACCCCGCAACTCTCCCCCGGGAGGGATGTACACGAAAACGGGGCTTTTGTACTCCACCAGCGCGTCCACAATCTGTGCCCCAAACTTCAAGACTTCTTGATACATATCGCGGGTTCCACCTGGCCATCTGTCAAATCAATGGCTGACATAATTAATTGTTCTCCTGAGATCCGCATACACCCCAAGGACTACACCTGTGTGCCCAACCTGAGAAGCCACGCCAATTGGCGAAGATGATCAGGGGAAGGTTCTCGCCGCGGTTGAAGTCGCGGATTGCTGTTGCCGTCTTGAAGGCGCTGTCTGGAAACCAAACTTGACCTTCGGCTCTGACAGCAAGAGCTTGCACGCACAAGCTTGGCTTCATCACTGGTCTGCAACTGCAGAGGGTGACGGGAATTAGTGCCTCATTCACCACCAGCTCCAACAAACTGGTTCTCGCACTCACAATATCGCTTTACCAGAAAATGGAAAACATAGCTTCCATCTTTCGAGTCTTCGGACATCTTCGGACTAAACCACTGGATTCCCCGTCAAAACATGCTCCCCTCTGATCTTTAAATCCCTAGGTCGTGAACTGTGTCCTTACCAACCCCCGTAATATGCTTCCTATTGCAAGCCTGGTGCACCACGTTTCTAATCCTGTGTACTGACATCCTGCAAGCGCTCCTGTACCTGGACTCACACGCAGCCAGAATGTAGCTAGAACCCTCCCTTTTTTCTGGGGGTTGCCGTAGGTGGGGGGGCGGCAATGGAAACCCCGCATTCGAATCCAATGGAGTTACTACGTGTGGGAGACCCTCAGGTCCTACCGCAACCAGCTTCTCCAAGGCCAGGAACCAGCTTGTGGTTCCACAACCTCCTGACTAGCCGGATTTGCGGGATCTGCCGGAATCCGTCGGTCCATGTTTCCTGAGCAAGGGATTCTACGAGGTTCGGGATTTCTGCAACTTTTTGGCCTCCTTTAATATATTGTGCCTGCAAGAACAACTATTCTCGCCTAAATCACGACATACGGCAGGGCCATGCAGGGCCCACTCCTCAGGGCCCCCTTCTCTTGCAAGTACGAACTACGAAGGGCTTATAGATATAGAGATACCCTGGCAAGGAAGATATAGAGGTGGGGTTGTATAAAAACCCCGT